CAATAAAATATTGTAAAGGTTTATTTTTGTTTTATTGTTGAGGGCCATTGACTGTTTTTGATTGTACATTGAACCACATGTAAACTTGATGCTTTTCTTTCATGCATGTTTTATATGCTTAATGAAATATCTAAATTAGAATGTGTAGCTTGCATTTGTGAAGCTAGTAATTATCCTAATACCTTGTAAACTCAATAGAATTTGTTTACATGCATGTGATAGGTGGTTTAGAATTATTATTGCACAGTGAGCATTCATCCAGTGGGAAATATATTCTGATGAGATCTCATTATGTGAATCTGTTCCCAGTTGTTCAATAAACAAATACAATTATTGGTTAGATTATTATAAATAATTGACTTCAATCTAAGAACTAATGTAAAGCCTTAAGGTGAGTCCACTTACTGATCATTAAAGATGAAAAAAATGATTAGAGATAGACATAGATATCTAGGACCTAGTTCATACTGCTCATACAGTTTAAATGTTTTTGTTTTGTTTTTTTGCAAGAATATACAGTGTTGTCATGAGTAATTCATACATCAACAAACATTTTTTTAAGGACAACACATAGACAGCAGCCGTTCACATATATGCAACTTGTTGTTACACACATAAAACTGATTTTAACTATGTAATCTTTCATGCCTATGCATGACACATTTGTAGACTAATATATTGGTAATTTGTTTTATTACCAGAAGGCTTATACATGAGATAAAGAAACTTTGATTTAAATTCTGTCTTTATTTGTGGTTCTTCTTCTCAGTGTCACATTAACAAGATTGACATTGCACTGAAAGGTTGTTGCTTAGAAGAGAACTTGCATCTGGAAAATTCTAGGCTAAAGCAGGAACATTCAGAACAAGTATCAGGCGCAAATTATTTGCTTTTGTACAAATCGATCATTTAAACACATTTTAGTGAAATAAAGAAAGCTGTGTAGAATAGGTGAATAAACTAATATAAATGAATATGAAAATGCAATACAACACCATTAGTTAGAATAAATGTCAGTTCGGAGGAACAGGAAGCTAGCTATGATAGAAGTACATTTTAGAAGTATGAAAGAAGAAAGTGTATAAACAGATCTCCATGGAATATCATTCTTGTTTCAGTTATTGTGTCCATACATTCTTAATGTGAAATCTATTTTTAATATTCTGCAGATACATATGATAGTAGTAACAGTTTATATTTATAGTAAACAGGGCCGGACTGGGAAAAAAATTAGGCCCGGGCATTTTTCAGTCAGAGTGGCCCCCTAAGTAGGGGGCGGGGCTAGAGAGGGTGTGTTTTGTCATCACTAATGACAAGCACGCCCCCCTCTCAAAGTGAGCATGTTGGTTCAATGCGCAGAAGAGCTCTGGCATTAGAAAAAGGCCCTGTATTTGTTCTGCGCAGCGCAAGCAAATATAATAACATGCTTGCACTGTGTTTGCTTTTAAATTGTGTCTGGTGTCTCCGCAAGTGGGATACCAGAGGACAAAAGTGCCAGGGATGCGTATGGTGCATGTGTTTGGAGCCTGCTTGTGGGATAGCGTGTGTGTAGAGTGTGGTGTGGTATTGTGTAAATAGGTCAATTTAATTTGTGTTTGTGGTGTAATATGTGTGGCTAGGGGCTGTAAAGAGTGTGTGTATAGGGGGCATAGTGTTATAGGGGATGTAGCGAGTGTGTACATAAGGGCTGTAGTGTGTGTATAGGTAATGTAGTGTGTGTAGGGGTTGTAGAAAGGGTGTGTTTAGAGAATGTTGTATGTGTTTGCTGACAAGGAATGTAGTGCGTGTGTAGGTGGTGCAGTGTGTGTGTGTAGGAGATCTAGTGTGTAAAGGACCCAGAGTGTGTATAGGAGATTGTGTGTGTGTGTGTGTGTGTATAGAGGATTAAGAGTGAATATAGGGTATCTAGCGGGTATCTGGAGCGTAATGTGTGTAGTGGTGCAGTGTGAGGGGTGCTGTAGTGTGTGTATGTATATGTATATTTATTTGGACGGATTGCATGTGTGAGGGGCGCAGTGTGTGTGTGTGCAAGAGGGGTGCTGTGTGTGAGGGTGTTTTTATCTGCCGTCACATTCTAGGTTTCTAATTTTCTTTGTCTGTTAACTCACTGATGGTTATTTTATATATTATATATATTTGTGTATATATATGTGTGTGTGCTGTATATGTGTAGGAGTGTGCTTTGTGTGTGAGCGAGGGTGCTGTGTGTGTCTGAGGGTGCGTTGTGTGTGTCTGAGTGCGCTGTGTGTGTCTGGGGGTGCACTGTGTGTGTCTGAGGGTGCGCTGTGTGTGTCTGAGTGTGCTGTGTGTGTCTGAGTGCACTGTGTGTGTCTGAGGGTGCTGTGTGTGTCTGGGGGTGAAGTGTGTGTCTGAGGGTGCATTTGTGTGTTTTGGTGATGTATGTGTCTGAGGGTGCTGTGTGTGTCTGGGGGTGATGTGTGTGTCTGGGGGTGCTGTGTGAGTCTGGGTGCTGTGTGTGCCTGAGGGTGCTGTGTGTGTCTGGGGTGATGTGTGTGTCTAAGGGTGCTGTGTGTGTCTGGGGGTGCTGTGTGTGTCTGAGGGTGCTGTGTGTGTTTTGGTGATGTGTGTGTCTGGGTGCTGTGTGTGTCTGGGGGTGCTGTGTGTGTTTTGGTGATGTGTGTGTCTGAGGGTGCGCTGTGTGTGTCTGGGGGTGATGTGTGTGTCTGGGTGCTGTGTGTGTGTCTGGGGGTGCTGTGTGAGTCTGGGTGCTGTGTGTGTCTGGGTGCTGTGTGTGTGTCTGGGGGGGTGCTGTGTGAGTCTGGGTGCTGTGTGAGTCTGGGTGCTGTGTGTCTGAGGGTGTGTGTGTGTCTGTGCTGTGTGATCTGGGTGCTGTGTGTGTCTGAGGGTGCTGTGTGTGTCTGGGGGTGATGTGTGTGTCTGGGGTTGATGTGTGTGTCTGGGTGCTGTGTGTGTCTGGGGGTGATGTGTGTGTCTGGGGGTGATGTGTGTGTGTCTGGGTGCTGTGTGTGTGTCTGGGGGTGATGTGTGTGTCTGGGTGCTGTGTATGTGTCTGGGGGTGATGTGTGTGTCTGGGTGCTGTGTGTGTCTGAGGGGGCTGTTAGTGTGAGTGTGAATGTATTTAATTTAATATTAATTAAATTATATATATATTTTTAATAATTAAAAAAAGTTATATCCCCCCCTCCCTTCTTACCTTGGGAGGGGGTGGGGAGCCGTGTTGCCAGGGGGGGTGCCGTGCTGCCATCCTTCCCTGGTGGTCCAGTGGTGAGAGTGAACTCTAACCTGCAGGCTAGAGTTAACTCTCGCGAGATCTGAGCGTTGCCAGAATCCCGCGAGAGGACCCGGCGGAGCTGCTGGTTAGATCTCCGCCGGTCCTCTCCTCCCTCCCTCCCCATCCTGCGGCCGCCTGTAACAGTGCCTGTGGGCCGGTGAGGGAGATCTTTGATCTCCCCACCGGCCAATGAAGGCACACAGCAGGTCCGGTGCTCGGATAGCACTGGCCCTGCAGGGGCTGACAGCGGAGATCCTGTGATCTCCCCTGCCGGCCTCGGGCCACGTCCAACGCGGCCCACCGGGCATTTGCCCGGTATGCCCGATGGCCAGTCCGGGCCTGATAATAAAACAAAAATGCATTCTGTCTTTGCTTTGACTGAACTAGATTGTGCTGTCATTTGCTAAGCTTTAGTATACATTTCAAAGACAATACGTGAAAGTTAACACATCCCATAGAAGATTTTCAATGTTTCTTTGTATGTCTAATTTTAGGAAAATGAGAGTCCCTATTTAAATGGTGAGACCTCACTTGGAGTATTGTACGCAGTACTGGAGACTGTATATTCAGAAGGATATTGATACTTTAGAAAGATTTCAGAAAAGGGCTACTAAACTGTTTCATGGATTGAAGGATAAAGTTATAAGGAAAGGTTAAAGGATCTTGACATGTATAGCTTGGAGGAAAGACGAGGCGGGGGATATGATAGAAACATTTAAATACATAAAGGGAATCAACACAGTTAAGGAGGAGGCTATATTTAAAAGAAGAAAAACTACCACAACAAGAGCACATAGTCTTAAATTAGAGGGGCAAAGGTTTAAAAATATCAGGAAGTATTACTTTACTGAGAGGGTAGTGAATGCATGGAATAGCCTTCCAGCTGAAGTGGTAGAGATTAACACAGTGAGGAAGTTTAAGTATGAAGCTATCCTAGACTTAAGATAAGGCCAGGGACTAATTAAAAATATTTAGAAAAAATTGGGCAGACTAGATGGGCCAAATGGTTCTTTTCTGCCGTCACATTCTATGTTTCTAAATAGCAAGCTCACACTGAAAACGTATTTTATTATCCTACTACTAACTTAAGTCTTTCTTTAGTGATATTCTATCACATTAAATAATATAACCCATCTGATGGAGAGAGACAGGTTTCGTGAAGACCCATGTCACATTAATGTAAGTTTTGTTGTTACATGCTCCTTACTTATTTCACTTTTTAGCTAGCAGTTTGGTCTGTGTCAGTGAAGTCTGTTTTTTTTGCTTTTTTAATAAGCCTATGATATGTAGTATTTGACTCAGAAGTATGATATTTAATAATTGCTTCTTATGACCAGGGGACAGTTTAACCTGAACTATGAATTATGGCTGCACTAATGTGTTCTCTTAAAGCCTGAACCCCGCAAAATCTCGAGATAGTTCATATTTCCATTTCCTATATGTTTGTGCATGGAGCATACTAACTAAGCAATCATTCTGGTGTCAGGTACCAGCTAGAAAGCTAATTCCTATTTTGTACTGTTGGACTCCTATGAGAATAGGAATTTGTATATGTAAATTCTGATCCAAAGTCTTAGTTGCAACACTAAAAATCTCTTTTGTAACAGGCTTGTTGACATACTATGGCATTCAGGATCTAGATCTACTTAGTTGGCCACCATTTACAGATATTTGATAACAAAGAATATGAATAATAGTTAATCTCAGATTATCAGTGACATATTTTTCTACGTATGTTATTAACCAGAAATGGAAATTACAAATGAAACCTACATAACAGAGTTTGTCCTAAAAGCTTTCCCGGGAAGCTCTGCAAAACTTACTTTTATGTTTGTAATATTGTTATTAATTTACTTTGTTACTCTTGCTGGAAATTTATTGATAATTATTATAATATGCACTGATTACCACCTTCACTTGCAAATGTACTTTTTCTTGGTTTGTCTGTCTTTCATGGAAATCTGCGGAATTTCCACTGTGATACCTAATCTTTTAGTCACACTTATTGTACATAAATCAATTCTTTCTAGGAATGCATGTTTCACGCAATCCTATTTTTACTTTTTTATTTCATCTTCTGATTTCCTCCTCTTGAGTGTAATGTCCTTTGATCGTTATGTTGCCATCTGCTACCCACTCAGATATAGCTCCATAATCAGAAAAAGCACCTGTATAAAGTTAGTGGCTGGTTGTTTGTTTACCTCATTCTCCTGTCTCCTGTATCCTACCTTGATTATTCCAACACTGCCATATTGTGGCCATATATTGGATCATTTCTTTTGTGAAAGTGCTGCATTGATGAAATTAATCTGCGCAGATACAAGATTACTCAAACTTTCTGCAGTTATATCATCAGTTTTTATTCTAATTGGACCTTTGTTGGTTACAATAATATCATATATTCTAATTGTGTCAACCGTTATAAGGATGCCATCAGACACAGGAAGACAGAAGACTTTTTCTACATGTTTGTCTCACCTCACCATGGTGTCTATAGTATTTGGAAGTGCCATATTTATTGAAATCAGACCACCTAAGAAATATTCAATAGAAACTGACAAAGTGGTGAATCTGGTAAGCACTGTTCTTGGTCCCTTATTGAATCCATTTGTTTATACTTTAAAAAACCAGAAGGTTAAAGGTTGTATCAGAGATGCTATGACACGGATTACATTTCTTACATAATAGTAACTACATGACTTCTTGAAAGCCTTGTCAGTCTCGATCAGATTCAATTTCTGCGAAATAAATGATGCAAAATAAATTGCGAAATAAATGATCAAAATTCCATAATTTAACACAGTCTTCATAAACATTTAACAATAAACAATGTAATTTTAACTTTTGGATTATCCTTTTGCATTATTCAAGATGACTCAAATCTTAGTCAAAGCTCTTGCCTGTACAAAAAAAAAATAGAATAATAATAACATGTACAGAGCTATTTACTATAGTGAAATCAATTTTAAGACTGAAGTGCCCAAGCTAGAAACATAGCTGAGAATTATCTGGAGAATGTCTCCAGTTTGGCTCAATTGATCTTCAATGTTAAATGCACTTTGGATTCCTGAGAATTCTCACTTTAGTGAATAACCCTGTTGGTAATTATTTAAAAGAAAATAATAAAGGACCACTCCACAGTTAGAGAGAAAAAAAATCACAATTTAGTTGATATACCCCCAATGAATACATGCATGCATTTTTCATGCACATAGTCATTTGGGGGTAGATATTGAAATAGTTGCAAAAGCTGCAATTCTTAAGAATTACAAAATTTGCAAGACCTCTTTGAAAGACTTTTTTCCCAGAATTCACAGAAAAATAGGAAGCTTCTGGAGCTCTGCCCCTGTGCATGCGCAGCTTTTTTTCAGAAGAAAACTGGCCTTAACTGAGGTCTGAGAAGGAGGTATGCTGAAGGAGGCAGGTACACTGAAGTAGAGCATGCCTGCCACTTCCTTTAGCTCAAGTGAGCTAACTAAAGCAGGAAGAAACCCCCCTGGCTGTTTGATCGACAGCTTGAAGGGTGTTTCATTATTTATTCATAAAAGTTTGTGAAATGCTTTATATGTGTGGAGTGATCTTTTATGTTATCATTAGATTCAGAGGTTTGCTTCAGACCGAACTGCAAATTTGCCCAAATTTGGGTAGACTGAGAGACTGGAAGAAATTATAATTTCTGAGCCATCACATGGCAGTATCTTGGGTATACCGACTTGAGCAAACCCATACATGCTCAGTTTGATTTTGGCTTCATAGTGCTGCTCATGGCACCAGGAAAAAGGGTGATGGAATGGAGAAGAGGCAGTTTTTTTTAAGGGTATGGTAATCAACCTCATTTGCCATGATGGACAAGACGTCTACCAAATCATGTGTATCGGGAAAAGATAATTGGTAGTTATGGAACATACACTAAATGCTGATTTTACTCACAGATCAAGTGAAGTGACAAAGAAAGGGGGAATATGGAGGAGCAATAACATAATTGTATTTCCAAGCAGGATTTTATTAGACACTTTCAGGGTTATCCACTAAAGTGTAAATTCAAAGTGGATTTAAAAATTTACATTTAGGTTTGAGTAGCCAAACTGAAAGCATATCTGACTAGGAGAAATTGTCAAAATTGATTCCTCCCTTTAGTGAATCCTTCATGACTTCATCTACTGAGGGAGCCAGACCATTGCTGTGTCATTGTTTAAGTGGGATATAGCCTGGGTCATTGATTGTAGTGTAAAACTAGGTTTAAGTTATGTTTATGAAGTGTCTAGCTCAGTGATGGCTAACCTTGACACCATAAATTGTTTCTGGACTACATTTCCATTGATGCTCAGCTAACTTTTAGACTAAAAGCTAGCTGAGCATCATGGGAAATGTAGCCATCACTGGTCTAGCTAGATAGCTACTGCCAGGAACACTTTAAAAGCAGAGATAGGTAGGCATTGAGTCATTGATCCTAGTGTGAGATTAGCTTACCAATATACAGTTGTTAAATGTTATTTATTTATTTATTTATTAACTGTTTGGAGAAAAGGACTTCCTAACTTTCAGGAGTTTGGTTTTAAGAAATGTTTATTCATTTGCTAAGCCTGTTTCAAAGATTCAAGTGTAAGACATGATTTAGCACTGTGAGTAGGGATACAGAAGATTGGCAGCAAGCTTTTTTAATTGATGCTAGTCTAAGACTAGCTTACCAATTGTCATTGATCCTAGTGTGAGCTTACCTTATGCAAACTGAAGATGAAAACATTTAGAACAAATCTAAACTTATTATTTAGGGTTGGGGAATCTTAGTGTTGGTGGCTCATAAAGATAGCTAATTAGTGACTTATCTACTAAGCAACTGAAACAGCAAAATGAAAAAGGGCTTCCTGTAATTTTGCTCCTTTAGTTGCTTAGTAGATAACTCCCTAATTTTGTGTCCTTATGTGGCATTGCAGTAATTAAGGATACCAAATTAGGGACTTCTCTATTAAAGTGGAACTATCATGTCTGCATCTAATTTCTTTAACCCCTCTCCCAACTCCTCTAAACTTTATTGTCCCCCCCAGAAATCTCTAAATGCCTCTGGGTCCCCATTTCACCTTTTTTTTTTATTGCTTCACATCTTCTCCGGATCTATGTCCAAATATTGGCTATTCATTCATTCGTATTTCAGATAGAACAAATATAAATGACGAAGACAGAATTGTTTGTTGGACAAAATGTCATCCTGCAATAGGCTCATCGTTCGTTTAGATTATTACAAGGAAGGAGCTACTGGCTTACCCTCCCTAATACTTAAAAATAAAAGAGGTGGGGAGCTGTGATTAGTATGACCTTCGTAGTAGTGTAAGGGAGGTTAAATGCTTCCGCCTGCCCCTACCACTGTGCTACGAGTAGGGGTATGTCTACTAAACAGTGAACAACCGGTGACTGCTCTCTGTTGTAAAACAATACAAGGAACTGGGCTGCTATTACTTCCAATTCGCAATCCAATAAGAGTCGACCAGGCCCAGGTGGTGCACCTGTTAAAATGTTTTAACATGGGGGATATAGTGTGCCACTCAAGACCCCACCCATGCTCCTCAATTAAACTAAAAGGGGGACCTATTATCCTCCCAGCCCCCACCCATTGGCAGTGCATGGGGGGCCAAAGTGATAATGGGGGTGAGCTCATTGTCTCAAATAGCCCATACCCATTTGGTGGCGACTCCAAATGATAATGGGGAGGGACCTATTGTACCCCCCAACCCCCACCCCTAGTCACCTCCCTGTGACTGAAGATCCCCAAACCCCTTGTCACCCCACCAATAAACAAATACACTACCTATCGCTCTCACCCTAATAATGGTGAGAGAGGCAATACACTTAATACTTGAAAAATATTAATTAATACTTACCATTAGATATCCTCTTTTTTTTCTTCCATCTTCTTATTTTAGCCCCCCAAAAAACAATAAAAATCCATAAAGGTTCTTAAAACTATCAAACATAGAAACATAAACATAGAAACATAGAATGTGATGGCAGATAAGAACCACTTGGCCCATCTAGTGTGTCCAATTTTCTAAATACTTTCATTAGTCCCTGGCCTTATCTTATAGTTAGGATAGCCTTATGCCTATCCCACGCATGCTTAAACTCCCTCACTGTGCTAACCACTTCAGCTGGAAGGCTATATCAAGCATCCACTACCTCTCAGCAGAGTAATACATCCTGATATTATTTTAAACCTTTGTCCCTCTAATTTAAGACTATGTCCTCTTGTTGTGGTAGTTTTTCTTCTTTTAAATATAGTCTCCTCCTTTACTGTGTTGATTCCCTTTATGCATTTAAATGTTTCTATCATATCCCCCCTGTCTCGTCTTTCCTCCAAGCTATACATGTTAAGATCCTTTAACCTTTCCTGGTAAGTTTTATCCCGCAATCCATGAACCAGTTTAGTAGTCCTTCTCTGAACCCTCTCTAAGGTATCAATATCCTTCTGAAGATACGGTCTCCAGTACTGTGTACAATACTCCAAGTGATGTCTCACCAGTGTTCTGTACAATGGCATGAGCACTTCCCTCTTTCTACTGCTAATACCTCTCCCTATACAAACAAGCATTCTGCTAGCATTTCCTGCTGCTCTATTACATTGTCTGCCTACCTTTAAGTCATCAGAAATAATCACCCCTAAATCCCTTTCCTCAGATGTTGAGGTCAGGACTCAAATATCCTATATTCTGCCCTTGGGTTTTTACGTCCAAGATGCATTATCTTGCACTTTTTAATAATTTTTTTAATTTACCTAAATCATTTGCCATTTGACCTATCCCTGCTGGAACATCAACCCTGTTGCAAATTTTTGTATCATCAGCAAAAAGACCTTATCATCAATACCTTTTGCAATATCACTAATAAAAATATTAAAGAGTAAGGATCCAAGTACAGATCCCTGAGGTACCCCACTGGTAATTAGACCTTGCTTCGGATACACTCAATTGACTACAACCTGTCATTTAGTCACTGTTTTACCCATTCAACAATATTGGAACCCAAACTTAAAGATTGCAGTTTATTAAAATAAAAAAAGGAACCGGTTTGCAAAAACATATTGAAACAGGTAAGTCTCAAGATTTGCTCTCTCTTCCCAGTGTATGTATGGAGTTCAGCCATGTTGGGTGTATGTTACAGCAGGAATGTGTATATCAACAAAGGGATCGAAAATGTGTAATATGTGACTTGTGATCAATAAATCCTGGCTGATTAATAGACGAATTGTGTTTATTAGAATTTTTTTTCCTAAAAAGCAGACTCTGAGAAGCAGCTGCCAAACTCTATTTGATTAACCCAGCTGTATCCCTAAACCTGTTGTTGGTTGTCTACAAGTATCAAGATTTACCTGACAGACTGCTCTGAATCAAAATGCACAGTTTGGAAAGGCTTTATAAGGCTTTCACTACCCTGCAAGCTCAGCAAGCTCTGTCTCCTCAGGACCCTCGCCATGTGAAGATGTAATTTTTTTTAATCTGATTTTTTTTTCTGTCATTTTTTTTTTATTTAAAAAAATTATTTTAATAGCTCGTTATGAATTTATGTATTTTTATTTGGCCTTTTTCAGGTATTTATTTGATTACATCCTCCACTATTATTAGGTTGAAGGGCTAGGTAAAATATTTATTTATTGGGGGGTGTCTAAGGGCTCAGTGACCCCTTGTCACTGAGGGGGAGGGTGACTAGGAGGATCCCTAGTTACTGGAAGGGAATTATCTTAACAATTAGCCCCCACTTTCCGCCAATGGGTGTGGGCTGGGGGGCACAATAGGACCCCCCCCTTGTTATTTGGGGTCTACACACCTTCAATTGGTGGGAGCGGGGGAAAAGGAAAATAAGTACCCTCGTTGTCATTTAGAGCCCCCACACAGTCAATGCATGGAGACAGGAGGAGAACAAGAGGGGTAGCCATTATCATTTAGGGCTCCCACCCACGTCAATGGGTGGGGCCTTGGGCAGGTAATAGGTCCCCTATTGTCATTTTGGGAACCCACCCACTGCCAATGTGTGGGGTCTAAACTACGTCCCCTGTTTAGATTATTAGCTCATGGGGCACTGGTGGGGGATGGAGAGTGACACTATGTTTCCACATGTAAATTATTTTAATAGGTGCCACACCATGGGTGTATGGGGAGTCTGTGCCAGGTATACCTGAAGTATTTAAATCCTGTATGCATGCTGCGCATACATTCTATATACATGCAGCATATACATTCTGTATACCTGAAGTATATACATTAGGTATGCATGCAGCACTTACACTCAATATACATGCATCATATACAGTCTGTATACATGCAGCAAATACATTCTATATATGTTGAGCTTAGTGCCACTAGGCTACCGGGGTAGATAGACTCCCAGTCCACATTATCCCAGGGGCATGTCCGCCAGCCCATTCTTGAACATTCTGTTGGATGTCATGCCAGTAGCATGTCAAATTAGCAGGTTAAG